GAGAGAGAGAGAGAGAGAGAGAGAGAGAGAGAGAGAGAGAGAGAGATGGAAAGTGAGAGATTAAGAGAGATGGAAAGTGAGAGAGATGAAGAGAAGGTGAGAGATAAAGAGAGAGGGAAAGTGAAAGAGATAAGAGAGGGAAGGTGGGAGAGAACGGAAAGAGGGAAGGTGAAAGGGAGTGAGAGATAAGAGAGAAAGGAAAGTGAGAAATTAAGAGAGAGATGGAAAGTGAGAGAGATAAAAAGAAAGAGAGGGAGACAGACAGAGAGAGAGAGAAAGAAAGAAAGAAAGAAAGAAAGAGAGAGAGAGAGAGAGAGGAGAGCAGAGAGAGAGAGAGACAGCAGAGAGAAGGCGAGAGAGAGAGAGAACCCAGATGGACCTCTAAGACCGCTTCAAGGTCGAGACAAGAAGGTCTAAGAGGCAGAAGAAAAAGGGAAGGAGAGGAAGTGGTCTCAGGGGCCTAGAGATTCTGGGAAGAGACTCTTTGTTGACAAATGTAGAGGGACGTTTAAGAGAGAAAGTTCGAGGAAGAGACCGTGTGTGTGGGTGTGTGTGGAGAAGGATGTAGGTGTGTGTGTGTGTTTTCTCTTTGTCTGTTTGTCGGCTTCTCTCTGTTTTTTATTGTTTTTTTTTTCTCTCTTTTCTCTTTTTGTTCATTCTTTCTCTTCTTTCCTTTCATACCCCTTTCTCATTTTCTCTCTCTCTTTCTTTCTTATTCATGCTCTCTCTCTCTCTCTCTCTCTCTCTCTCTTTCTCTCTCTCTCTCTCTCTCTCTCTCTCTCTCTCTCTCTCTCTCTCTCTCTCTCTCTAAATATACTTAAAATAACAAACCCACGCTGCAATTGACACAAAGTATTGCGAGTCCCTGCAAAATCATTGCACCATCTTGCAGACAGCTGAAATGGCTCGTGCGTTAAATTCAGTTAGACCGTTCACTTGGCCACTTGGGAATACATTTCATTCTCACTGCATCATGTCACATAATCATTTGCCAGATAATTTTTTTTTTTTTTTTTTTTTTTTTTTTTTTTTTTTTTTTTACTGGGTATCATTATTGTCATGTTCTCTGTTGTTACTCCTTGCAGGATTGTTACGAAGTTCAGAATTTTGAACATTAATTTGTTGATATCAGGATTACTGTTATAGTTGTTATTGCTGAGACAGATGGTTATCATTTTTGTTCTTTGGAATCTTTGCTTGTGTTCGATTTTATTATCATTTTCATTATCATTATCATTATCATCATTATCATCATTCTTATTATCATTTTCATTATTATTATCATTATCATCATTCTTATTATCATTATCGTTATTATCATTATCGCTATTGTTATAATAATAATAATGATTTATTATTATTATTATTATTATTATTATTATTATTATTATTATTATTATTATTATTATTATCATCATTATTATTATTATTATCGTTATCATCATTACCGTTATTATTATTATTACTATCATTATGATTATCGTTATGCTATCATTATCATTAACATCACCATCACTCTAAATCATTACTTATCGTCATCTACTATATTCATCACTATATCATTATTATCATTTTCATCACTACCATCATCATCGTTAAACATGTCGAATTTAAAACACCCCCAATACCTGAACGCTCGTAAATAATTTTTATAAAAGAAATAAAAAATCCTTCCCTTCGTTTTTCCAATAATATTTACTGACACAGATTCGCAATATGAACAGTTTTTTGTAAACGGAAATGTTTCATATAGCACTGTGTGATCACTTTCAAAATAAAATTCACGAAATATGTCTGTTCAGCAAAGTGCAAATAGAATAAAGTTTTTCTTTTTCAGTTTTTTCTCTCTCGCTCTCTCTCTCTCTTCTTCTTCTCTTCTTTTCTCCCTCTTTCTTTTTTTTTTTTTCCTTTTTCTTTTCTTTTTCTCCTTTTCTTCTTTTTCTCGTCTTTCTTCTTCTTCTTCTCTTGCTACCTCTTCTCTTCTTCTTCCCCTTCTTCTTCATCTACCTCTCCTCCTCCTCCTCCTCCTCCTCCTATTTCTTTCTTTTCTCCTCCTTCTCTCTCTCCTCCTTTCTTTCGTTTTTGCCTTATACTCTCATGGAAACTGAATAACATTCTCTCATTCCCGGGCAAGTAATAGTTGTCATTTAGCCTTTAGTGATACTGATGTCAACCTCTTTAGTATAACTGCAATACTTACTGTCTTTACGTTTGGGTGTTGGCAGAGGATACTAGAAAGTGTATCGTGTTTTTGGGTGTATTATGTTTAGTGTGGGAAGTGAGACGAAGGGATATTATGGTCTCTCTTTCTTTTTCTCTTTCTTTTTCTCGTTTTTTTTTTTTTTTTTTGACGCTTTTTTCGTTCGTTCTCTCTCTCCTTTCTTTCTTTCTGTGTGCTCTTTCCTCTTCTCTCTCTTCTCTCTCTCTTCTCTCCTCTCTCTCTCTCTCTCTCTCTCTCTCTCTCTCTCTCTCTCTCTCTCTCTCTCTCTCTCTCTCTCTCTCTCTCTCCTCCTCACACAAATTCCCACTCTCACTCTTTTATTGTCTTTCTCGGTTTTCTCTCCCCTTACTTCTTCCCTTTCCTTAAACCTATCTCCCTCCACCCCCCCCCCCCCCCCCTCTCCTCCCATTTATGACGTGTATTTATAATTTTTTTTCGAATTTCGTAACCGTTAACGT